TTATTTTATTTATTTATTTACACAAATGGAGCACTGCTTTTCATTTCTCTGGCTGTACGTGACGGGCAGTCGCACCATCCGTGCAGTCATACGTGTACACAGGGGTAATAATGTCCATCTCATCCCACCATCTCCCCCCTCCACTCTTCATTAACCTCAAGGGGTGGCAGATGGGCTGTGTTCACCTGTTGGACCTTCCACCGGTTCTCAGACCTAGGAATCAGATTTTCTGTCCTGTGTCAGTTTTCACTCACCAAGTTTAATCCCAGCAACCGTCCAAAACAGATCTGGCATTATCACAAGAAACCTAATGCCACCTGAAACCCTCCCCATCCTAAGCTGGCAGCGGTGGGGTCCAGCAGAAGTCAAGAACCCCAAACTCAAGCTGCCTCCAGTGCTGCGGGCTCACCCAGGAGCCTGTGAGTTTGGGGCCCGGGGCTCTCACATCTACCTGAAGCTTTACTGTGGTTCATCATGACCTTTATTAGGGTATTACGGTTTACTTATTTTCCAATGCAACTTCATTGGAAAATATTTAAAGACAAGGATCGTGTAAATTCCACAGCATCTAATGTAGCTTCTTGTTCGATAACAAACGCTCCATAGATGCTACTTTCATTGACACTCTGGGTCATTGATTGCATGATGCATACCAATTTCTAGAGATAGTAAAATGTTAAAAAAAAAAAAGTGCATCATAAAATCAGTGAAATATAGTAGTTATTGGAATAGGCTGCTGTGAGTTTATTGCCCGTGTCTGAATCAGGGCTGCAATTTAATATTTACCCTGTGTTATCTATAAAATCTAACCCATCRGTGGCCCTCCAGGCTTAAAACCCAATCGGAGAAATAAATCCTAAAACAACAGAGCSTGGTCGCCCTCTGCCCCCAGCTCGCACACCAGCACTGGTCTTTGCTGTGCCCTGGGGGTGGAGCGGAGGGGCAGACAGCCTGTGTTCTCCCCGCTTCTCTGCGTTTGGAGTTTTATTTTCCTGCCTCCCACCGCCTACAGCTTAAAACTCTCAGATTCAGGTTGGAAGGACTTATGAGAGTTTATACCTGGGTCTTTCAACAGTATGGACCAGGTATACAGATACATCGCAGATCTGAGCTTTTTTTTTTTTTTTTGGTACTGGGGATGGAACCCAGGGGAGCTTGACTAACACTGAGCCCCATCCCCAGCCCTTTTTTGTATTTTATTCAGAGACAGGGTCTCACTGAATTGCTTAGCACCTCACTAAACTGCTGAAGCTGGCTTTGAACTCATGATCCTCCTGCCTCAGCCTCCTGAGATGCTGGGATTACAGGCGTGTGCCACTGCGCCTAGCAATCTAGGCTTTACCTGGTCCCTAAGTGCCCCACTGCAGCCCGGAGGATAGGGCCCCCTGACCGCCCAGCAGTGGCCACCAGGCCTGGAGCAGTGTGGCTRTGCCTCACTGAGCCCCATCAGTCTGTTTTTTCTTCAAGCATGGAAAMAAAACATCATGTATTACAGTCTTTAAGTCTCGCCTACTCGGAGCAATATTGTTTTAGAGCAGAAGGTAAATAAATGTAAACATTTAAGTGTTCATCAGACGGAAACAAATTTCCCTGTTTCAGTGATTCTTTTCCTCTTTAGACAGTAGACTATTTCAGACTCAAACTTGCAGAATGTGGATAAAAATATATTCGAGATTTTAACTCCTGACTTCCCAAGACTGAATATATATATATATATATATATATATATATATATATATATGTATATATACATATATATATATATTTTTTTTCTTTTTGAGAGAAAAGGGTGGCCTGAAAAAGAAAGGAAGTCAGGGGCTGTCATTTCTCCTAACCCCAGACATAGACTTAGGGGAGGTGTGGTCTTAGGATGCAGGGTMCTCAAGTGTAACATTCAACTCCCACCCCCCCACACACACACTTCCCCTGGGGATTCCTGGATGTGGCCTGATCTTTACTGAAAGTGTCCAGGGGCCTCATGTCCCTGACGCCCAGCAGAACTCTCCGGTCCTGGTTGAAGGACATCAGTCCATCCTCTCACACTGAGACCTCACCTGGGGCTGCATCCCCATCTTGTCCAAGGCCCTGATCTAGAAGAAGGTCTGAAGCACAGAGTGAACCTCGGTATAAACTACTACATTTGGGATGATCCCTAAGGTGAAGCACCTTTTTGCAATGTGCAACTGGTATGTTTCTCTGCTTGAGCCCACCTCAATTTTCCTTCCTTGGCCATTTTATCTTCATGAGTGTTTAGTATGCAGGCTAATTTAGGCATCGTCAGTCCCCTGAAGTCACTTACTTTTCTTCTACCACTGGTCCTGATTCCTAATTTTCAGGACCATGGTGACTGGTCTTGGCTACTAACACTGGGGAAGTTCTCAAGGAGCTGTATGACGTGTTTCATTTGAGAAAAGTGTGTGTGTGTGTGTGTGTGTGTGTGTGTGTGTGTGTGTCGGGTGCCCTGCCCTGTGGCATCTGCACGTCATGCATCATGGTGGAAGAATGGTTCTGGGAGAGGGTCTGACCTCCGGATCCACAGGGCATGTCCACCCTGTGATGGGCTTCTCAGGTGGTTTCCTTGGCAACCAGACTCACTAATCCTCCCTCCACACAGACCCACACTTACCAGGAGTGGCGGGGGGAGCACATAATTGGCTTAGTGGATTCACCAGTGCATCTTTGTAAACCTGCAGTCTCTTAACTCTTGAGAGCCAGCTTCTTAAGGGGACTAAGCTGCTTTTCTAAAACCATTTGAAAGTGCATTTTATAAAAATGAGAAAGTTTAAGACCAGAAGGATCTTAAGGATCAATTAGCCTCCTCCCCTGTTCTATAGATGAGGCTCTGGGAGCCCAAGTGAGTGACATAGTGAGCTCACATAGTCAGTTACGTAGAGGTGGGACCACACTGGGGTKTTCCTGCTCCCTGTCCTGGGCTCTTTCCACTCCACCAAGAGCCACCTGCATTCTGAGCACCCTCCTGGCTAATGTGCGCGCTATGAGGTCAGGGACTACTTAACACTGCTGGGCGTGTCCCCCGCCCCCAGGACAGCTCTAGCCAACAGCAGGTACTCCACGCCATTACACACCTGGCCTTGGTTTCCGCGACACACGTTGAGACAGACACCCCACACCCCACACGGCTCCCTTCCGCCAGCAGAGCACGTCCAGCAGCGGGTTGGCTGGGGTGAGCAGCCTCCGACAGCAGCACCGGAGACTCGGAGGTTCTGAACACTCTCCCTGCGTCCTGCTGTCAAAGAGGGGACATCCTAAGGCTACATTTGCATGTACTTAACTCATGAAAACCTACATCCTTTGGTGGCAAATGACATATAAAATAGGAAAGTGACAAGTACACGTGAGCCTTCTAAAATAATGTGTGTCAATAAAATGCCCCCAACTCCCCTCGTTCACCTGGAGGACAGGTGGGTGTCCAGAAAAGGGTCTGTGCCTCATTCCAGAGTTTCTATCGGAAACTTCTCAGCCATAACAGAGTCCTCAAATCCTACAGAAAGCTGAACTTTCTGTTCACGCTTTTGTCCAGATTCAGTAAGTCGCAGTTCCGCGTCCATTTCTCATTAGCTATGCGACCGGTTCAGCCCTTTCCTGCATCAGCTTGGCCCACTCCTGGCCCTCCTTCCTCCTGGCCATCTTGGCTGTTGGAGGGATGACCTGTTCAGAATTTACACGGCCTCCTGGGTGGGTGCCGACCATTTCCATTTACTTTGACTTGCTCATTTTCCATCTCCAAAGAATGCCATGGCTCTGGAACAGACAGCTTTGATTCATTAACRCATTTCAGAGAAAATCTCCACCTCCATCGCTTTGGTCCTGTTTTGGTTTCCTGTTGTTTTGTTTTGTTTGTTTGTTTGTTTTGTGGGTCCATCATAATTTCCTTATTTTGAATCATATTCCATTTTGGGTCCCAATAGTCCCTCAACCAACARTTCAAACACACCCAAGTTCTATTACAAATTATTTTTGACCTCACAAAGACTTGGTCCAAGAGGATGGAGCTGTTTTACTATCCCCCAATGATGGCTTCGTAAGTAGGTGAGTTATACACCTGCATCCTGGGGCACTCTGAGAAGCCACCTCTTCATGCTGWCTTGAAATCCATCCCCCAGGCCAATCTGGATTCCCCATTCCTGRGAGCAGACGCTTGGGTTGTTTTATGGCTTTTCATCTGCATGTCTGGCTACTCCACAGGAGCATATTCAATAAAATTGCCTCTTCCGGCCTGTT